CAGTTCACTTGGGCTTTCTTTCTATCCAACAAAGCTGGGATCACTGACCACATCAAAAGATTCATTGTGATGATCGAAAATCAAACTAACAATCAAGTGAAAGCGATGCGTACTGATAATGGAACACAATTCAAGAATGCCGTTCTTAACCATTTTTGCGCTGAGAAAGGGATTGTGTGTCAGTTCAGTTCTGTTCGAACACCTCATCAAAACGGGGTTGCCTAACGCAGGAATCGAACTCTTAAATACGCCGCAAGGATGATGCTCTGTGATTCCAGACTTCCTGTGTTCTTTTGGGCGGAGGCGATTAACACGGCGTGCTATGTTCAAAATCGCGTGCTGATCAACAAATCCAAAATGAAGACACCATACAAAATTCTATACGGACACAAGCCATCTGTCAACCATTTTTGAGTATTTGGCTGCCCTTGCAGCCTTCTCCACTTGAAATCAAACCCCAAATTCAACGCAAAAGCCGATGACTGTTACTTTATTGGATATGCTGCTCGAACCACCTATAGGGTTTACAACAAGAAGACAAAATAGATAGTAGAATCTTTCGATGTTCGTTGGCTCGAAGAAAATGAGATAGATGCAAGAGTAGTTCCCGATTGGCTATTTGACTACACATCTCTTTTCAAATCATTCAATGTATCCTCAGATAATCAAATAGGATCTTCGTCAAATTCAAAGATTACTATTGAAGATGAAGAAGACGAAGTTGTTTACCGACCACCACTGGTTTCTTATGATCCTCCAATGGTGCCGTCTGTTCACACTGATTCTTCTGAGTCTTCTCCTCAACGACTTTCTTCTGATGCTTCTACTACTCGTTTAACTCCGATTGAAAGAGAGTTCATGAACCACGAGACTTCCGTTGTAACTTCAAATCTGATGGAACTTCTCTTTCCAGAAAGTATTGATGGAGAGTTTGTAGCAGATCCTCCAAACGAACCTTGTTCAACTATTGTGGATCACACAACAACTGATGGAGCGGTGAACATTCATACTCTTCCAGTCTCTGTCAGTGATATCAGGTACAAGATCCCTGCACGCATTCAGCACGATCATCCAATAGAGAACATCATTGGCCAGCTGGGCGACGATGTTCAAATGCGAAGTCAGAGTGGAGATGTTAATATGTGTCTCTACTCTTGCTTTATTTCTCAGATTGAGCCCAATAATGTCGAAATGGCTCTGAATGAGCCCAGCTGGGTTGACGCCATGCATGAGGAACTTAATCAATTCGAAAAACTCGGGGTTTGGAAGTTTGTGGAGCTGAAAAAGGAAAGAAATCTCTTGACACCATATGGGTCTTTAGGAACAAGCAAGACGAATCAGGCGTCATTGTACGTAACAAGGCGAGATTAGTGGTTCGCGGGTTTCGGCAAGTTGAGGGTCTTGATTATACAGAAGTTTATGCTCCGGTAGCTCGCTTGGAAGCCATTCGTATATTCCTTGCATATGATTCCTATATGAACTTCACCGTATACCAAATGGATGTCAAGACAACTTTCTTGTATGACAAGGTCAAGGAGGAGATTTATGTTGACCAACCACCCAGTTTACTTAATTTAATACTTCCCAACCATGTTTACAAGTTAGACAAAAATCTGTATGGGCTGCATCAAGCTCCTCGACCTTGGTATGCTACCCTAACTCAGCATTTGCTCAACCGCGGCTATTCCCGAGGTACCATTGATCAAACCTTATTTATCAAACATGTCAGTTCGGATCAAATTCTTGTTCAAATCTATGTAGATGACATTATTTTCGGGTTGACAAGCCAACAACTTTGCAAAGAGTTCGAAGCAGTGATGACGAAGCGGTTCAAGATGAGTTTGCTTGGGGAAATGACCACGTTTATGGGGCTTCAGATCCAACAATCGTCAACCGGAATCCTTATTCACCAAGCCTAGTATGTGGATGATGTGCTGGAGAAGTTCGGGTTCCGAGACGCGAAGCCTGCTCTTACACCCATGGCGGAAAGACCTCTTCTGACCCCTGATTTTGAAGGTGAATCCGTAGATCAGACACACTATCGATCAATTATCGGATCACTAATGTATCTGACTGCCAATCGCCTAGACGTAATGTTTGCGGTTTGTCAATGTGCTCGCTACCAGGCTAGTCCTAAACTCTCTTATTTACTTGATGTTAAAAAGATTTTTCGGTACCTCAAAGATTGCCCAAATCTGTGTCTTTAGTATCCGAAAAATCCAAAATTTGACCTTTATGCTTTTGCAGACAGCAACTATGGCGGGTGTGAGCTTGACAGAAAATCGACTTCAGGAGGATGCTAATTTCTGGGAGATAGATTGGTCTCATGGCAGTGCAAAAAGAAGCATACGATTTCCACGTCAACAGCAGAAGCAGAGTATGTTGCCGCATCTGCATGTTGTTCTCAAGTCATCTGGATCCAACATCAGCTGTTGGACTACGGTTTGAATTTTTAAGAAACCCTTCTTTTCTGTGATAATGAGGCTACGATCCAAATTTCCAAAAACCCGGTCCAACACTCAAAAACCAAGCACATCGACATCAAAATTCATTTTATCATCGAATTTTATGAGCGTTCGCTCATTCGGCTAGAACAGGTCCACTCTGATAATAATGTAGCGGATCTGTTAACCAAGCCGTTTAACAAAGCTCGATTCGATGTGCTGGTTAATTTTCTGAAAATGATCCGTTTTGAGGATTATTTTTTTTTTGTTTGTATTTAGTTTAGGATAAATTTGCGCAGTTTCTTTTCCTTTATTTTATGCACAAACTTAGGGGGAGAAAAATCCAAAAACATTAAAAATTAGAAAATTCAAAAACAACAGAAAATTAGAAAATCCAAAAACATTAAAAATTAGAAAATCCAAAAACAACAGAAAATTAGAAAATCCAAAACATTAGAAAATTAAAAATTAAAGAATATACATATATATATATATTTCTGTGTTCCATGATATGATTTTGGAAGTGATATCAACAAGTGATAACAGGCAATCTGAGTATGTGTAAACTACCAAAGCTGAATTGTCTAGGCTCTATGTTCGATGCGCTGGTAGGCACGAAGTATTTTAATGGACTTGACTATGTGCAGATGAACTTAAGAAATCAAATGACTTGACAAATCTTGACCTAGATAGATCCGTTTAGCATAACAATACGACGCTCGGATAGGTTGAGCACGGAGATATACATGAGAATCCACTAGTCACATTAAAGAACCCGTATCTAGAACTGTGGTTTACTTTTCCTCGATGTACGGATTCTGTCCTTAATTCCAGTATTGATGGGGCGACTGGGGAATTCCGATAAAGTAGATCTGTAGAAAATTATTTTCTTTCTTTTTTACTGTTAGTCATATGTTGCCTCCTCTACGTGATTGGAAGAGATCCGACCTGGACTGTAACATATGCAAATCTGTTTCTCTAAATATTATGTCTATGAAAATCTTCTTATCTGTTAGCCATATGTTGTTTCCTTTGTGTGATTAACAATCCGACCTGATACACAACATATGCAACCTTCTACTTCTCAATCGCTCTAAAAAAATACTATATTTAATAATAATCTGAATCTATCCTCTCTATGAATAATAGTCTACTCATCTAAAGTAAGGAGTATCTCGGAAGTTCCTGATTATTGGGGTATATCAGGAAGTGGGAAGTATGTTCTAGTACATCTAAAATTGAACAATTATAGATTGTCTGTAGATCTCGCTGCTCAATTTAGGTGGACAACAATATCCTTGGTCGTTGTCAGATAGATGGTCCTTAGAAATTTTTATCTAGTAACTTAGGGTCAATCTGTCTTGTCACTTATAGCATGTCCAAAATTTGTCACAAAATTCTTCGTGTTTAAGTGGACCACAATATCGGCGATCGACCAGATCTATTCATGAAGGAGAAGGAATTGATAAATGAACAACGATTGTCTAACAACTTTGATCCCTCATCTCATATGGCTAAACAATTTATAGGATTAAAATTAAATTTAATATTTGTCGTTAATAGTATTTCCATTTTATTTTATTTCAGTTTATTTTTATTTTTATTTTTATCTTAGTTTTAAGTTTACTTTTAGTTTTTATTTTTTTTAAAAAATCATTAGGAATAATAAATTTTTGACTTTTAATCCTCAAAATGGTTTGTTCTTGAAAAATGCTTGAGTATGGGAATCTTTTTTTTATTATTAAAAAGCTGAGGGGGAGAAAATGAATTTTTTTTGAGTATATAAAAGGTGTGTGCGGTGTAAAACTTACTGGCACTGTTTCCATTTTTTTACTTTCTCAACCGCACACAACTCTCTCTTTCTCTCTCTCTCTCTCTCTCTCTCTCTAAAACTTTGAATATTCCATCAAATCTCTTCAAATCGAAGCACATTTCTGGTAAATCTCATGAACGTAACAAATTTTTCATGAAAAAATGATCATTGTTTGCTGTTTGATCGAAGGAACAAATGTTTCGTCTGGAAGTGCGACCGCACAGGGTGTGTGTGGCCGCACACAGGCGTGTGCGGCTACATTGAATTGTGAATGGCTGAGCGTGTGCGGCTGTGGCTGGACACTTGCACGTGTGCGGCTGTGTGAACTTTCATGTGCGGTTGCACAATTTCCGTTATAATCAAAATCATTTGTGCCTTAATGATTGCTTGTGTTTCTTTTCAGATTAAGATGGGAGACCTGGAATTTGCCAAGGTTCACAACTCAACCATTTTCCATGAAGATCCTCCTGCAGCTCACAATGATTTAAAGCTATTTGTTGATGGTTTGAAGAAGTGTTTCCTGGTCCATGCATTAACAACCTGTCCTGCAATTTACCAAAGCCTGATCAAAGACATCTGGAGAAGCGCAGCTGTGAAGAAGGACAACAAGGATGGAAAATTCATTGATGCTACAATTGAAGGAAAGAAAGTTCAAGTGTTAGAGAATATCATTCAGGAATCACTCCAGATCATAATTCTCCTTGGAAATTAATATTCATCAATTCCAGGATATTTTAGACCATATGGGGTATGAGGGTACTTTTACCCCTACCATCAAGAAATTGCTTCCTCCTTGTTGGAAGGACCTAGCTTATGTGTTTTTGAGCTGTATTTCTGGCAGGAGATCCGGTGCAAATGAAATCTCCTCAGCTAACACTGAAGCAATCACAACCTTGGCTGCAGGAATTGAGTTCAACTTCTCGAAGTTTATAATGAATGAGCTGGTTCTAAATCTTGAGGGGAATAAGAGAGATAAAATTTTGATGTACCCAAGATTTCTGAAAATCATCTTCAATGTTACGCATCCCGAGCTGCGAAGAGGAAATGAAACTTTGGATCTTAAATCCGTTGGTCCAAGTGCTTTCGGACTAATGAAACAAAAGAGAGGTGGAAAATTCGTCTTTGAAGGAAAGTTCCCCTTGATCAAATTCAGAATTTTTGAAGAAAATGATCGGTCGGGATCAGAAGATCAATCCATCCCTATGGAGTCTGAAGACATTGTGCATTCAACCTCTGAACCAGAATTTGAGGAAATTCATGATTCTTCTACATCCACCATGGTGGAGGAACATGATTATCATATGGAGGATGAAACTAAATCTACTCATGAGGATGATGATGATTATCTCTATGGTGATGTAGAAATTTTGAAGGAAATTGACTTCACAGGGTTCAGTGATGATATCCCGACAAACATTGAGCTTGATCCTAATGATGAAGAATTTGGTCCTCTTCCAGGATTCCTCAGCAGTTGTCTTAATAAAGTCAATGAAGTTGCCTCTTCGGCAACCAAGACTAGGGAAGAAGGAAATGCTATCAAAATTCCGCTCTCCACGTCCAAGCCCATGGAGGATGCATCAAGTCAAGGAGATGTGATGTCAGAGATTCCTCCCTCTGTGTCAACTATCTCAACATTTGCTCCAGTTGTTCCTGATTCAACTCAGCCCTAGACCTCTCAGTCTTCTATGGAAACAAGTCAAATTAATTGCGAGTCTGGAGGTACCCATTATGGGCAATGCACATCAAGTTTTCTCCACTGTCACTGCTACTACTGCTTACTCTCCAATATAAACTGATGAAGGCCCGAGTACTATGTTTGAGACAGGTAACTCTTCATCCATCCCATAATATTCTCCCACCAGACCTTCATTAGATGAAGCTTCAATAAGACTGGCTAACAAACTGGCCCAACACAGCCCAACCTCTTCTCGTGGCAAAGGAATATCATTTAGAGAGGAGCACACAGGTGTTGATAAATCTTCTTCGTCTTATCTTTGAGAAGAAATTGGAGTGCTTCGAAAGGAACTCATTGAGAAGACCATTCAGATGGATCAACTCACTTCTTACATTGAAGAGCTCAGAGCAAAGGATGAGGAGAAGAAAAAACAGATTAAATATCTACAGACGAATCTTGGTTCAGTGACTGCTAGATACTTCAATCTAAAGAACGTTCTGTATGACACATTTGGTGAAAAAGTCAAATCCCTTTTTCAACAGCCACACGAAATCGATGATCCTCCCACTGCCCCCATACAGTTTGTCTCTGAAGACTTTCCAGTCGATCCACCTGCTCCTAGAACTGTTGGATAAGGTGTCTAAGTCCATAACTATTTCTGGTATGTACTTGACTCGACCCGGCATGATCCATTTGGGTTGCATGGCACCATGCAATTGGACAGACTAAATGAGAGAAATAACACTTGGAGATTATTAATATATTATAAGTTCTAATATATTAATAATATTATTTGATTAGTTTGATCAATAATTAATTTAGAATTAATTAAGTGGTCAAAAGAGAACTAATTAAATATATGGGTTGATTATGTAAATCATCCATATCTTGTATAGTGGGCTAAGAGGCTCCATGGATTATCAAGTTGGGTTCTACCCATAGGATGCTCCATGGATGCTCCATGGGAGTTACAAACCCATGGGTCATGGAAATGAAGAGTCATGACACATTAGGGTTTACATGGTGTAACCCTAGATGTGTCTACACTATATAAGAATCATATTCTCCACCAAAATTGGTTACACTAAGGAAACAAGAGGGCTTGGCCGATTTCAAGAAGTGTGTGTTCTCTCATAAGTTTTTCCAAGAGCATTTGGTGTTGTGTGAAGCATTTGAGGCATCACACTTGGGGTGCTAGGCTCACAAGGTTTCAAGGAACACAAGCAACAACAAGGTAAGTTATTCTATCTATCATTCAAGTTAAAATGGTTCCCCATGTATGCTAGATAGGAATATAGCCTTGGAATTCAACTTTGCATGATAATTAGACAAACATAGATCCAAGGTTATTAGGGTTGCATGTACACTTAGGAAGTGTTAGAATGCTCAAACCCCATCAGTGGTATCAGAGCCTAAGCTTGTTTTCTTTTTATTTGTGCTTAAAAGTTGAAAAAAAAAAGTCGAAAATCTTGCTGTCTAAGAATGGACTCGTCGAGTCCATAAGAGGGACTCGTTGAGTTCACGTGTATCTTCAACCAACTCGGCGAGTAAGTTCATGCACTCGGCGAGTAGGGTCGACTGGCTGCAGAATTTCGACTTTAGTTGCTGGAAATGAATTAGAAACATTACCCTAAACTTTTTGGTACTTGAAAAACTTGTTTTAGATGGTGTAATGTCTTTGATAATTCATTTACAACAACTAGTTATCAAAATTACAAAGTTTTAAGTGTAATTTTTGAATTATGAATGAGTTCATATTCATGTTCTTATTCTTATGATGTTTTAGATGATCATAGGAATTATTTGTAACCTATGTGGTAGATTAATTCTTGATCATAATGTGTTTTAATGGAGTCCATAACTTGTCCTCAAGTTATGGAAAACCAAGAGTCACACTTGAGTTAAAACCATTAAAACAAAACACAGGAGTTAGAAAAATGAAGAGTCTTCATTTTATTACTCTATTAAACTCATAAGTTACAAGAAATGAAAAGTTTTGAAAGTCACAAAACTTGCCCTCAAGTTTTGGAACAAGTAAAGTTAAGTTAAAACTTTAGTTCCAACCCCTAGAATTTTAAAAGTTAAAATTCAACCCTTATACTTATATTATGATGATTTAATAATTATATATATGTATAAGAACAAAGTCGTCTTACCGCTAGTACGCCTCATTCACGAAGCCAGTCTATAAGGTGGGTATAAGGTTGTTGCCTATAAAATGGTGACTTAATGGGTGTCTACTCTCACCCACCGCTTGCTTGACTGGTGGAGGGTCGTTAGCCGAACAGGTAGGACAAGGACTTATAAATTCCCCATTCAAAGTATGATGAATATAATAAAGTAACTAAATGTTTTTTTAAATTCCCAATCTTAGTTACTTTAGGAAAATGTGAATAAGGTGCTAATCCATGAAATTACACTTTACACTTTGTCTAAGTCGTTGGTGGAGCGTGTGTGGTTAACCGGAACACTAACTTGGACTTAACAAGGTAGGTAAAGGGTGACTTAAGGTTTATTATAGTATCGTTTGGAGCGTGTGTGGTTTACTGGCACATCGATTGAGTGATAAAATTTAAGGGTACCAAGTGATTTGCATGGTTACTTCACACCTCGTTTTGTGATCCTCGGTATCCCAGTCACAAAACTTGGAGGCCACACTCGAGATTGAAACATGCCTTTGAAAAGTTCATTGAATCTCAAAGAATCTAGGAATTTCGAAGAACCAATCATAAAACCTAATATCTAATATTTCGGTTTTCGTGGTGGAAATTGGTGAATCGTCATTCACCTACCTTTCAAATATGTTATAGCTTGGATTATGGCATACCTCTTCTAAGTTATAATATATTGTGATTGGATCCTAGCCTTAATATTACATTTGGGTGTTTTATTAAGGACTCTCATAGATCTATACTAAACTTGTTCTCTTCTTTCAGATGTCTTCAAACAATGCTGCTTCTGGCTCGAATCCTAATGGCTCTTTTACTCTTATGAGTTTGTGTGGGAAAGTTACCTTTGATGGATCCAACTTCAATGAGTGGATCAGAAACATCAAGATGATAACCCACTACGAGGACAAAGAATATGTCCTTGACAAGGAGCTTAAGGAAATTGATGAGTCCACTGCAACTCCCCAGGAGATCGCTGACTTTCATACTCATGAAAAAGATGCGACCAAGGTGGCTTGCATCATGTTGGCCACAATGACAGCTGAACTCCAAAAGTCTTATGAAGATTTCTACCCTTATGAAATGCACCAAGATTTGATGGAAAGATACCATCAAAGTGCACGACAAGAGAGGTACGAAATCATCTGCTCCATGATAACAACCATGATGAAGGACGGAGATTCCGTCACGAGCCACATGCAGAAAATGCAAAGGTATGTGGATCGTTTGCTTAAGCTTAATGTGAACTTCCCTGAGGAGCTTGCAATAGATATAATTTTGCGCTCCTTACCATCGTGCTATGATCAATTCCGCATGACATATCACATGAACAAGGAAGAGGTCACCCTCAGCAAACTTCAGGGACTTCTGAAGACCGCAGAAACAGGTCTTAAGGGGAAGTCGGTTGCTATCACTCCTACTCCAAACTCAACTCCGGTTTTGGCAATCGGGAAAAGTCGAGGGAGGAAGAGAAAGAGATCTTCGAAGGGTACCAAGGCTCGGACCCTTGATGGCTCTTCTTCAAGTGGAACCAAGAAAGGTTTAATTACTCCTTCTTCTGACCCAAAAGAGGCTGAATGCTTCTATTGCCATGAAAAGGCTCATTGGAAGCGGAACTACCCAAAATACCAGCAGGATGTGAAGGATGGGAAAGTCAAACTCAACCATGCATGTATTTACACTATCATTTCTAATAACTCACCCCATTCTAAATCTTGGGTCCTTGATACCGGTTGTGGTATTCATATTTGTTGTGACTTGCAGGGACTAAGAAGAAGTGAGGATGTGGAGCAAGGAAGAATAAACATGATCATGGGGAATAGGAAAGCTTCACCTGTCACCAAGATTGGAGTTTATACTTTATCGCTAAGTAGTGGGTTTAGTTTAGATTTGAATAAATGTTGTTACTCGCCAGGAATGGCAAGAAATATTATTTCCTTTCATGCTTTGTACAAACAAGGGTTTACCTTTTCGTTTAATAATGAAGTTGGTTCTATTGATACTTTCTTTAATAATGTTCTTTATTTTAAAGCATTACCTTGTGATGGTGTGTATGAAGCTGTGTCTATTGTAGATAACTTAGGAAATAATGTTTTGCGTATTGATTCTACTACTAATAATAACTTGGATAAAGCATCATTATGGCATTGTCGTCTTGGACATATAAGCAAGAAACGCATAGGCCAACTCCAAAAGGATGGAGTCTTGGAGTCATATGACCTAAAGCCATATGATAGTTGCGAATCATGCTTACTTGGAAAAATGACAAAGTCACCCTTCATAGGCTCATGTGAAAGGGGTGAAGGTTTGTTGGACCTTATACACACGGATGTGTGTGGGCCATTCAAACATGCCACAAGGGATGCTAATTGTTATTATTTGACTTTTACTGATGATTACAGTAGATATGGATATGTCTACTTAATCAAACATGAGTCAGAGACTTTCGAGAAGCTTAAGGAATTTAAACAGGAAGTCGAGAATCAATTGGGCAGGAACATTAAGATGCTTCGATCCGATCGAGGTGGTGAGTATCTTAGTTCAGAGTTCCTCGACTATCTAAGGGAATGTGGGATTATCTCGCAATTGACACCTCCCAGAACACCGCAGTTGAATGGTGTGGCTGAGAGGCATAATCGAACCTTGTTAGACATGGTTCGTTCCATGATGAGTCGAGGTTCGCTACCAATCTCATTCTGGGGGTATGCCTTAGAGACTGCCGCCCATATTCTTAATCTAGTCCCTACAAAGAAAGTTGCCAAAACTCCTCATGAGATGTGGACTGGTAAAGTACCTAAACTAGACCACATCAAGATTTGGGGTTGCG